ATCGTGATTTCTCATTGGCTAATTTTAGCTCGGAAAATCACGTGATCGGAAAATCGATCCTACGCCCTGGCGTTGTTTTCCTGATAGGGTTCTAAAAAAGGGCCTCCAAATACTATACTACTACAGTGAAAAAAAATTAGGATTAGAGTTCGTTTTTAGAACCCTATCAGGAACAGTAAACAAAAAAATTTTAACTCCATCAGGATGATCCATCAGGAATTGTCCGATTGCAATCGATTGTACGTGGTTGTACGATTTCTCAGCAACCATCTGATCAAATTTGATGATTTTTCTTTAAATTTGAATTTAATGAATCTACAGAATTCAAATAAAAAAAATTTCATCGAATTTGATCAGGTGGTTGCTAAGATATTATCGCTCAAAATTTTTTCTATTTATCAAAAAATAGAAGCTGCGCCAAATTTTTCCTAGAACTTTGAGCGGATATTTCAGCAACCACCTGATAAAATCTAATGAATTTTTTTTTTATTTGAATTTTATAAATCCATAGAATTCAAATAAAAAATTTCATTGAATTGATCAGGTGGTTGCTGAAATATCTTCACTCAAAGCTTTTTAAAAATATCAAAACGTCAATCAAAAATAAAAGCTGCGCTAAATTTTTTCTAAAAATTTGCGCGAAGATATCTCAGCAACTATCTGACCAAATTCGATGAAATTTTTTTATTTAAATTCTATTAATCCATTGAATTCAAATAAAAAATTCATCAAATTGATTTTGTGGTTGTTGAGATATTCTCGCTCAAAGATTTTTTTTTTAAAAAAAAAAAACCAAAAAAAAATCTACCTATAATATAAGAGTGAAAAAATGTAGTAATTCATGAGTTCTCATTATAAATATACAATTATAATTTTTGCTCTCTGCAACTTAACTGCAGCTCTAGTTATTGACTCATAAATTATTTATAATGTAAATTCAGGTTAATTGTTTAAATATATATATATATACACATATAAATATATTTGTGTAACCCAAATTATAGCGATTACAAGTTTCTGATGATTTATTATGACTTATTGCTATACATAAAATTGCCCTACTAACTCGTTACTCATTAACTTCAATTGTAATTTCTTCCGTTGCTTTTCTAGCCAATTCATATGAAAATATTTCTTCCGTTGCTTTTCTATCCAATTCATATGAAAATATTTTTTCAAAGGTTGGACGTGGACGCGACATTATGATCTTGGTTTCCCGTTCGATACGACTACATTAAAGAATCCAATTACTTTTTATATTATTCAGGCTTTATTGCTAATTATGCTTACCTGCAAAAGGCATTCAAATTAATATTATTACTATCATTTCCAAATGGATTTTCGACCTCATAACCAATTCGATAAGCACTAAAAAGAATAATAGTCATAAAAAAGACCAAGGGAATCGTAATCCATCCCGAATTTGCGACCAATTGGAAAGGCAAAAGCAAGCAGTAAATCCATACTGTTTGGGAAATGAGAATGATGCTAGAGGTTGTGGAGTTCTCAATATTTTCTCAAGATTTGAAACACAGTTAATCATCTTGACTAAATTTTCGTTTAGATTACTAATCGCAATGTCATTAGCTTTTTTCTCTTTTGATATTTTTTGAAAATAAGCGAGTAAACATGATAAAATGTCCAGGTTAGTATCCGAATAACCTCCTTGACCATCAAACCCATAATTGAAATTCGAAATGAAAGGTTTAAGATCAGCACAAATCTTTCCATCTTCCTCACGAAGTTTATGCATTGTGGAGTAAGCAAATCCCACTAGAAGATTTATAGCGGATTTTTTTTCAAGTCTATCTCTTTCCTCAGTTCCTTCACTTTCATCCACATATGCCCAAATAAGCATAGACATAGAGCGGATAGAAGCCTTCAATTCTGTCAATAGGCTTACGCCATCCCAATATCTTTGTTATAAACATCATTTTTTTTCATGTAACTAACTATTTGCATTTAATAAAAATATTCATGATAAAGACTTTACCTTTCGTATGCAATAGTAACTCTATATGCAAGTAGCAAACCTATCACAATACCAATCACATTGATGAACGTTCCATCGATACCAACCTTTACCTTAATATTAATTAACAAATCAAAAATATATGACTACGCACAGCTTTAAGTGTTCTCCAAGAAAGAAAAGATCTATAATTATGACTATATTAGGGTGTAGAATCGATTTTACTATCACATAATTTTCTGATATCTATCAACCAATCAAAGATTAGGATTAGGTATAATGTGAAAAAATTTAAAACAAATATTCACTTTGCAAAAGTTATATTTATCTCAAAATTTAATCTAGTAAACTATTTTTGTGGTTTTAACAAAAAATTTTCTTTGTGCGATTTTGCTACATTATTGTTTTTCCTAACTTTAACCTAACTTTAATCTAAGCTTTAATCCAAGTTTTTATCTTAATAATATTTGTTTTTTAACTATCATGTGACAGTAAAATCGATACTACATCTATTATAGAGTGTCTAGGATTATGCGATGTAATGGAGTAAATTATGTGATTTGAATGTAATAAATTATGTATTGAATGCAAAATAAATTTGAAACTATGCGATGATTATACGAGTTTTAAATTTTTTATAATAGTATTTATTTACATATTAAAATTTAAAAATTTTAATATTCTGATTAAATTTTCTAATAATGCATGCCTATTATTAGCTAAAATTTTATTATAAATTGAAAAGCTATGTTCAATATCTACTCCAGAGACTGGTAACCAAATATATACTAATATGATTTTGCTAAGAACTGTTAACAAAGTCATCTTTTCATACCAGTACTTATTTAAATCAAAATTTTTGCCAAATATTTCTAATAGCTCTAAATAAATCACTCATTTATTAATAAGCTTATTTGATAAATTTTCAAACTTTTCGATTATTTTATATAATATACCAAAATGCTTATCTCAATGAGATTATTCTAACAAGCCCAAATCATTAAAATCCAATCACAAGGTCTTAAGATAATTCAACTTTTGTATAATTTTAATAGTGATTTTTTAGAATTACTAAGTAAATTTTTTTAATATTGAATAACTTTTGATTCATTGGTCTGTTTTGAATGATTTAACTATCAAAAT